AAAGAGCATCTTATATCATGGCTGTCTCTAAAATGAATTTAAACATCAAATAGATGCAAAAAACCATACACATACATATTTAAACTAGTCTTTCAAAATATCAGGACATCTGTCTTGTAGGAGTTATTGCTCTTGGTGAAAATACTCACAGCAGAACAGGGACTTCTGATAATTAGTTGAGTCCAAACAGGCCTACTTATTACAAACAACAGAAACTAAGATTATTTCTTACTTCTGCCTTCTATATTCTGCTTTTTTTTTTTTTTTTTGTTCTCAAACAACAAGGCATTCCCATGGTGGTACCCTGAAAAGCTGAAATCTCTCCTGTGACTTTCAATCATATTATCCCAAGCGCATTAATAATAATATTTCTGACTCAAAGATTTACCTTAGTTAAGTATAGAAATGCAGAAGTGGTATCTCTCATGATTACTATAAAACTAAAAGACAAAAGCAGGCTACAAGTATGCAACAGAAGTGCTACTACCCATGATTAACCTAGTAGAAATTAGTATTCTCACATGGTGCTTCATTGCGCACTTGCAAGAAATAATACCAAATAATTCAATAAAGCGGTAATTAAAAACCTGTCTCAATTCTCCTGATACTGTGGCAATCATGCTCCCACAACCTCAACAGCTGAGCACGGGAGCACTCAGCTGCCTGCACTGCACTGCAAAGAAACAATCCACCCACCACTGACTCCTGTTGTTTCATAGGGGATCCAATTACTGATATCGTTCTGACACTAGAGATTAGCTGATTGCCAGTTCAGTGTGCTTACAAAATCTTATGTGTCACAGGAGGCCCTTTACTTGTTTCTGTAAGACAAACAGTGGTTTTTTTTAAATCTATTAAAAACCCACTAGAATATATTCTCTCTCATGTGTAGCACTTCAGCCCCATCCTGTTGGACTCAAAGCAAATTCCCCCTTTAAAATTGTCGTAGAACTACAGTGTTGTGACAGTAGCAGCAAAAATACAGTTTTAATTGTTCTTTTCAAAGAAGAGACTGAAGAGAAGCAGAAACCATATATGCCACTATTTTAGCTCTCAGTAAGATCATGGATCTTTTTGAAGTCCAAGATCACAATTAAAATTTTTCCTAATTAAAAAATGTTGATAGAACTTCACACTGGTCTTTTTCCAAATCTAAGAACACATTGAAACAAGTACTTGTGAAAAACAATAATTTGATTTTTGTTAGAAAGTGCTTTTCTAATCTCCAATACTGTAAATAAAATTCATTAGGACTGTATAATATTAGTCAGTTAAATTCTATTATTATTCAGTGAAAATACATCCCTGGGGCTCCGATACTATTTGTCTGTTCCTGCTGTTGAACTGAAACAAAAAGAAGAAATGGAAAGGCAAACTACAAGTCAAGCGAATTAGTATTTAACCATGAAAGGTCAGATACTAAGAAAAATAGGGAAGAAAGACAATGATGAGCAAGAAATACTTCTATTTTCTCACCACCAAGACTAGTATTCTTACAGGCAGACATTCTAATGACTCTGCTGATTATTCAAGCGCCTAGACTGTATCTACATGTGAGATACCAAGAATACCCTCTTTAATGCTTCGATGAACTTTACCATCCATTCTAGAAAACAATGTCTTCATCAGCTGCGACCAGACACATTATATTACTTTGAATATCATAGGATTTTACTGTAAATAACACCTTCCCTAGAGATCAGAAGTTTATATTGATGTGGCAAATTACGTAATGCTGCGTAGACTCAGAATAAAAAAGACTTTATTTGTTTATGCTCCTATATCCAAAAAACCCAGAAGGGCATTTTGCAAACCCCCGTTCAATTAATTTCCACAAATCTTCCTTAAATAAAAACGGAAGTTAAGCCATAAATTTCGGGCATACGATTTTACTCAACGACAATATGCAAATTTTATTTCAAAGTATTAGAAAAACACCTCATTCACAACATATGAACAAAGAACACTGCCAAATAACACAAAACCAGAGTTTAAATAGTATTAAATAGACATGCTGCATTTTCTTTTAACACCCTCCTCAGGAAAAGAAAGCTGTGGAAACTTGCTGATCAAAAGTATATTTAAGTTTTATCTTATACCCGGACAAGAGTAAAATAAGACATACAATCATGAAACAGATTAGGGTAAAGAAGCCACTGCAGTTCAAAGTTTTTAACCTTACTGCATCCCAAGCACAGTATAAAAATGGAGCTGGCCTAGGCAGGGTGGATGGGCATGCCACAAACTGTCTTTGCCACCCTGCTGCTCCCAGCAAGGATCATTAACCTGCCTCTGACAGAATTTTGCCTAACTCATTCCCAGAATCACCAACAGGGATGCTGCAGCATCTCTAATCAATCAGCTGCTGTCCTTCACTAACCTTACCTTTATAATGGTTTCCCTAATGTCTAATTTAAATCTCCCTCACTAGCATTAAAAAGCATTATTATTCTTTTCCTGTTCCCCACAGACAAAGAGGACAGTTTATTACTTTCCTCTTCACATCAACCTCTCATGTATTTGAATCTCAAATCTTTTTTTCAACGGACTAATTCTTTAAAATTGTGGGTTTGGGTAAAGTTTTCTAGGATGATGGTCCTCCTGGCTGATCTTACTTCAGTCTTGCATGAAAGTCATGGATCATCTAAAGTATAATAAGGAACTACAAACACACTGTTAACTTCCACAGAGCTATCCTCTCCACTGCCAACATACACAAATGGTACTTGCTTACTGCACTTAACACTTGCTGAGTGCTGCTGTTCTTCAACCAAAAATGTCCCTCGGCACTTTTTTCTAATAAAACTATTGAATGGGCAATAAAGACAAACATCTGTCTAATTTAAAATCATTTGAACCAAAAAAAGCCCAAACCCCAAATCTCATTAATTTAAATTTTGCACTCTATTTTGCGGTATGACTTACCCTTGCATCATTGCATCACCTATCCAAGGCATATTGTTCCTAAAAGGTATTATTTCATTAACTAAGTACTTAGTAGGTTGACAGACATTTCACATACACCCATTCTGAGTTGCTATACAAAATCAGGGGCACAAAACTAAACATTATGTGTTCTTTCACCCAAAAAAAGGTAAATGAACTAAGCAAGAAATAAATGCAATATATTATGAAGATAACTAGTTCCTTTTCAAAGAGGCGACTATAAGTGAGCTATAAACAACAGGGGTGTTCTAGATTGGAGGGATTCTCTTGCTTCTCATATCTCACACAGGTTAGGTGTCATTGTTCCCCTGGCTCTTGTTAAACATTACCAGGTAAACTTGATAGTCAGTGTTCCTAAGGCAGGGCTGCAGGAGCATTGAATCTAAATCACCAAAATAAAAGTGATTACACATTAATCATAGGTGAGTCCTTAGTGTTAATTTTGAACTACATTTTTGAATTATGTTATCCATCATTAAATGAAACACTGAGCCTCTGACTGCGTACCCTTCACCTATGTGATTAGCAACAGTGGTTTTTTTTCCTCACTGAAGCAATACTACTCTATTTTGATACTTCTCCCAAGTATTTTACCATACCATATTGCCATCACTGTGACATGAGCAGAGCACAGGCACTCTTACTAGTCAAAGGTACCCAGGAAGCCTTAGCAGATGCACTACAAACTAGAAATGTACGTATGAGACAACACATTCCAAGTAGGTTTGCCATTCTGTGGCACTAAACATTTCCAACCACTTATCAACTGTAGAGTTGCTATTTGCATTTTGCACTCTATACATGAAAGCCTTACAGCTGCCTGTGGCAACAAAGGAAATGCAAAACTTGTTGGAAGAAAATAAATAAAATAAAATAAAACCATTTCCTACGGGACAATTCAAAGTCTCACCTCATCATCCTGAGACATCAGGGATTCTGTATTGCCTCTGTTTTTTTATTAATAATGCAGCAACAGTCTTTCAACCACTCTTTCAGAAGATGAGCTTTTCCTTCTGAGGCAATATGAGTCATGTGATTACCTCTCTCATCTGGAGTCAAAGGCTAAAAACTGATGGAGGTTCTCACTATCAACTATCCTATAATTTGGCACCCAGAGAAGCAGTAATAAATGAGTGTTTATCTACTCAATGGGGAATTTAATTTCACTCTCTGCCCCCAAAGTCATTACCTGCACAAGAGGAATGAGCAATGGAAATTTACAACATAATAAACTATTACAGGCTTACTGCTTAAACGCCATCTCAAAATCATTTTCTGCACCGGAAGCCATAAACAAACTATACTTCACAACATGAGAAGAGAAATTTGTTGATATGATGAAACAAAAGGCATTTACATCTCATAAGAGCAGAGAAGCATTTTATACTCCAGATAAACAATTTCTGCTGTTCTCAGTATTGTTTTCCTTGGTGAAAAAAAAAACCCAAATATTAAATAGTCCTCATTTTTTTTCTTAGAAACCATTTTAATGAAAGAGTATCACTAAACAAAATTTGTATGAGGTTTACTGTCTAAATGAAAGTTGAAAGACATTTTCTATCTTGTTGAACAAAGCTTATGTACTCAAAAGGGTAAGTAATATGAAAATATTCTTTAATTAACTTGGTATACCATATATTGCCAGTAGGCAAAGAAATAATACTTTTGGCATAATATCCAGTTAAAAGCATGCACAGAAAATTACTCTGAATAATAATTTTTTTTTCTAGAATTGGCAGCTTACTAAGGAAGAAATGAAAATATTTGTAAATCAAATAGCACTGAAAATGGTATCCAGTCAAAAGTCATATTTTTATTAATCTTTTTTGTTAAGTATATTGTGGTACCATTTTAAAACTAAGACATGAAAAGCTATCACAGTTCCAAGCAATACTTCTCCACTGCCTTAATCTTAACAACTAGTTTCTCATCAGTGTTATGCTTGTCAAAGCATGAAAAGCATAATATTTTTTTCCCTTTTTCACATTCGGTGGAGATATTTCAGTATAGAAATCTAGCATTATCTACTCCATTACTGATATCACTGAAGTAACTGTGTAGTCATCCTGTGATCCTATGCAAGAAAACACAGCAAGAACATTAGGTAGTCATTAAGGGAGCAACAGAAGCCACTTACATAAATTACGGTACAGTAATTCAAAAGAATATAAGGACAAGAGATGCTTGAAGCTTAAGCTTCTTTATTCTTTAAGCCTTGAAAGTATTACCTGCCCAAAACTTGGGAAAAAGACCACAAGGTACCTCCTTTTTAAGCTTAAGTGAACGAGTCAGTGTTTCTGTGTTTTCTAAAAAAAATTAATTTTTTTAAGCAGCTAAAATGGTATCTACTGTTTCTTACTACTTTATAGTGACTGGACTAAGTAACTCCTTTAATGTTAAAACAGGTAAACATTATCAACATGCTTTTTTGTTCATTTGGTTTTTTTAAGGCACAGAGGAAACTCAAAGTGAGAAGTATACAATCCTTTCTCCAACCAAAGGAAAGGAATTTCTTCTGAGAAAGTTTAGTTTAATGAAAATACTGTGTTTCCTTTCCTAAAACCTACCAACATGATAATTGACACGTTTTAATTTTTCTCCATCTATAAGAAGTTAAAGTCCACTGAAAGGAACAGGCAGCTCCAGAAAATTTACAGTGGGAATCAAGTCCTCATCCCAGAGCTAGATGCAAGAGTCCCATAGGTTCCACCAATATGGCTGCTTTCAGTTACTGTGGAAGACTCACACTCTGGACTTTTACAGCCTTGTCTTCAGTTCAGAATAGCGACAATCAAATTATTTGACATTATTGAAATTATTTCTCGGGCAATAAAATAAGTTAATTAGATGTTTCTCTCCATGTATCAGTGGATAGTCTTCTCCACTGTGATGTTTACAGCTGGCATTCTCAGCAGAGGACTGAAAAAAATGAACAACCTTTCTGTGCAAAGCTCAGGGTGTTCCCACAACATCAGCCTTTGTTTTCTGACTGTATAATGTGCAAATCTTTTTTTTTTTCATTTCTTGTGCATATTTGTTTGACTAAAAGACTAGTGGATTTCAGTCTCTAGCTCCAAAGTATGCACTTTTCACTGACAATAAAATTTTAAAAGCTTCAGTTTGCACCTGAGCATAATTGTAATAGCTTAGAAACTATAAAAGAGCATAGTCAAGAAAAATACCAGAAGTGCTTATGAAGCCTGGCTTATATTTTATCAGAACTTGACTAATTGTTTACTAAAGTTTTATTTTTACCAATCACTGATGTGTGATTTATCAGAATATATTTATGCTAAACATCAGCATTCTCTCTCCGTGCTCTGCAGTATTGACTATCTGAAATGGGACATTTATTAAGAAGTCATCAGAAAGGCTGATCCTGGGAGATACAGGAAGATGCAGTAGAAAGCAGGATAGATCAGACCTTTATTTTTGTTGTTGAGCCTGAAGATTTACTCTTGCTTTAAGACTCCAAAGAAGAGCAAAAGGAGTAGAAAAACCCCCAAAACTCTGATGTTATTTTCTTAATAATTATTTCAGGACACACTAATTAATCGTGTTCTGCCGAGAGAGAAGTAAAATTCCAAAATTCCAAAATCCTAAAATTAACTACAGGAATCAGAAGGCTGCATGCATTACAGAGGGCAAGCATTGACATTTATTTTGTATAATGGTGCATGTCTTGAGAATAATTGCCACTGGAATATTATCCCCACTCAACATGTCAAACATTAACACAAAATCAATATGGAGCCACATTCCCAACATTTTTCACGCACCTGTGTTATGCCCCCCTGAAGGGTTTTGCCACACTCAGCACTGGGCTCCCCTAAGACACTGGAAGAGGTTCACTGCAGTCCTCCTGCTCTGCACAACCTTGCTGCCCAGGGGGTCAACAATGGCTCAGCAAGACCCTGACATCTGTGGAGGGAAAGTGCAAGGTGAGACAAAGATGATTTGTGGTAACTTTGCTGCTCTGTCAGCAAGTCCTGAGAAATAGGAAGCATAAAGGTTGTTTTCCACAATATAGATGACATCCTTGTTTGAAATGATACAGTCGGAGTTGCTTTGTGACAAGCTCAGTCTTAAGACATGACAGAAATAAACCGTCAAGAACAGCCATCCTGCCAAATACACTCAGACTCACACAAAAGTTGGATTTGATAGATCCCAAATTTTATTTTTTCCCCAAAAACATAGTTCTCTTTTGAGCTTATTATAAATTAAGTTTCTCTTCATTTTAGAGCTAAACTAGGTCTTTAACAGGCTCTGCACTTCAGTTTATCTCATAACGAGACATCACAAAAAACCAGAGTTAATCAAAAGTATCAAAATTATGAGGGAAGAAAACCCCAGAAAACCACATCACACTACTGTTTTCTTCAAACAGGTTGTAGCAGATCTCCCTCCTTGTTTACACTCTCATGGTACACTGCTCAGGCAGCCTGTTTCTCAGCTAAACATCCCAAACTTGCCAGTCTCAGAGGAGCTTCATTTCCCCAGCCAATGTGCATCCCTGTGAGTCATTGGCACCTTTCAAACCCAGATTTGAGAAGATTCCTATATACTTTAAAAGGTACTTGAGTTATAAGGGCGTAGTTCTAACACAATTCTTTTGGATCAGGTATTTGTACATAAACCTGTATATAGTCAGTATATATATATATATATATATACACACATATATACATATATATATGTATGTATATAGTCAGAAAACTACAACAGTTGATCATCCTCAATTGAAATTACATCAGCTAAGGCCACTGTCTACTCCTTGTTGCTAATGTAACAAATCAGTTCTCCCAAATATGGTGATTCTAGTGCTCAGAAAGACATTTGAATTCCCATCCGGTTCTTGTTCCTGGATATTTTGCTTTATGGAATGGAGCTCAGCTATTCCTTTCCTTTTTCTCCCCTCAAGATTCCAAAGCTCAAGGAGAGCATTTTGCTGAGACCCATGGAAGAAAACCACTGTTAATTTCCATGACACAGATGGGAAAAAGATCATAACCACAGCTCCTCACCATCATTGTCTGGAAAAGATACTACACTCAGTTATCACTGTCCGGATATTAGACATTATCTAGTCAAATAAGATCAGGGAGGGGACTATTGAGAAAAGCAGTTCCTGCACACCTCGTTACTGAAGATGAGGAAGCAAACACGACCCCAATATCATAGGAAACACATGTGGCAATTTCTACTGCTTCTTCAAGAAATCCACATCACTTTATTGCTAAAACTCAAAGCCAAAAAAAGTTATTATCCTGGACCAACATATTTGTCTATTTTTTATAACAAGATTTTCAGAAGAAAAGGCATCTCTGTGGAGAGATTTGGTCTCATCTGTGAGTACATACTGGCAGCAGATCCTCTATGGGGTTGCCAAATGAACTCACAAACTTGTGAGAGCCCATGTAGCTTGTTGCCTTCGTTTCATAATACAACAGCTTTTACAATCAAGAACCCTACAGACGAACTAAGAAAGCCTAAGGCAAGTTTTGAACCTATTGATTTTGTGTTGTTGAGTCATAATACACGATGCAAAGTCATCTAAAACATGATACCATGCACCCACTTCCTTATCACATGAGATCTTTTCTGGTTTAACCAATGTTTGCGATGTTTCTGAAACCAGATTGCAACTTTTCCAAGATTTGAGAGTATCTTATGAATCAGTGCACAGACAAGTCTTTCCACCAACCACCGACATGCAGCTTTGCTCAGGATGGCTAGTAGAAGAGGGTGGGTGTAAGTTAGGGACCTACGACTAAACAGGAGTTTGGCCAAAACCCCTTGCCATTACAAAAAGAGCCACGATGTCTTTTGTAATCAAGAGGATCCTGGATTACAGGTGCTTATGATAACAACCTCCACAGAAAAAATCTCACCAGAGCCCATGTTATAAGCTTTATTATGGTGAAAGACCAAACAATCCCATCTTGGAATCAAACCCATAGTTGAAGACTATACAAACATATCAAAAATCAATGCTTGGATGCAATTCTCCTTCAAAGGTCAACTTGTGAATGTAGCCTGCTGAAACACAGGCTTCCACACAGTGCTTTTAAAAAAACATAGTCAGAAAATGGAATATCTCAAGCAAAAAGTACTCTATAATGAAAATAGGACATTTATATAGATACATGCAACGTTTAATTAAGAGAAAAAAATCACCACATCTTTATATCAGCCAAGGGTTTCAAAGTGATCAAAACTCCCCATCTAAACCTTATTTATCCTGAGCTAAGTTAGCTCTTTTTTACTCCTGAGTAAGAGGTATGGGAATTCCTCTGCAGTCTATCGAAAATATCATTTGTCTATGTACTGGTACCTGTGTGAGTAAAAGAAAGCTATTGAAACAATTCAGCTAGTGTTAACTGGCTACAACATAAAATTTTTTTGTCATGCATGAACAACAAATTATTCTTCTATCCCAATAAACAAGTAATACAAACTGTGGAAACAATTCCTCCAGTCTCATGGAATATGCATTAAAAGGTTCAACAAAAGTTATTATCTCAGATTGTACTTCTACTATTGCATTATTGATGAGCTACTTCTATTGGCATTTGTACTTCAGTTACCAGAAATTAAAGCAAATACTAAATGTCTAAATACAGCATGCCTAGAAAAAATACAAGTGTTCATAGGCTCCAGGATTCCCTGCAGTCCCAAAGGGATTTTCAGAACCTCACAGGTATCTTCAGGTCCTATAATTTGCATTCTGCTTCTCAGTTCAGCTTGCAGATGTTTAAAAATACATGCAACAAGACAATTCACTCTTGGCTACACATCTGAGAGGTTCAAACATCTGAATTATTCTGTCTGAGGTCAACTACAATTTATGTGCCAAATTAGGTTGAAATCGAGCTGGGAAGAGCTATGAAATACTAAGATCTCTGGTGCTTGGGAACTTGTGGCTATTTATGACCAATGCACATCCTCTCTGATCTTCTTCCAGGAAAAGGAGATATTTTCAGGAAACAAATATGAAATTTAAGCTTACAACTTATGAATCTGTAGGTTTCAATCATTTAAATTTTGCTGTGCAAACAGATATAAAATGTGGATTAAAATAGCAAAATTTTGTAAGTGTTCATTGCTTTTTGGAATTCTAGAAGACAAACAGATGCACATGGCATCATATGCATTTGCATGCCAACAAGATTTGCAATAAAGATAAAATCTATATCACTATACCCTTTAATATAATCAGAAAATATTTTCCAGGAGCTCAGGATCAAAGTATCTAAGAGATATATATCTAAGTGGTATAATTCCACCAAAATGTTCTTATACTGCATAGATACAGCATTAATTATATATATATATATATATATATATATATATATGTCTTAATATAATCCAGTTAGTTACCGAGAGAACTAATGTTCATCCCAAAATGTATGGATTACTTTTTGCACAATTCAAAATTGTGAACTAGTAACTCAAGTGACTCTTACTATCTCTAAGTGACTCTAAAATCATTTCCTACAAATTTCTGAATGATGGATGATATTTCCTATAACTATCTCCTGCAACATTTCAACACAATTAAGGTAGAGCTAAACAGAACTCAAGTGATTCTCCTCTTCAGGGATTCATGTTTAAGTTAATTCCCAACCCCCAGTCTAAAAGCAATCTTTGCTTTTTCTTCTCTTGGAACAGATAACACCAATATTTAAACTACTCTTGGGAAAGGACAACTTAAAACAGAATTATCCACAAAAATGCTAATGACATTAGCATTTTTTTCTTTACTACATATACTAAATTTCGAAGCCCGAGTAGGGATTTTAAGAATCTAAAGTAGTTATCAGCCTTTAGCACTGTTAATCTCTCTCCCACTCACCTCAGCCCATTTCCATCAGCCTCCCAGTCTTATCTCTACTTTTTCCAGGAACAGAGAATAGAAAAATGAAAGAACAGTGGGGAATGGGCCAAGATGCACTTGTAGATATTTCTTTTAGTAGTGAAGAACTCAATAGCACAATTCTCTACGTGCCAGCCACATTTTTCAGAAATAATCATACTACCATAAATTTGGAACAAAAGCCTCAAATATGCTTTAACAAACTGATTCCAAAAATTTTCAAGATTTCCACCTATCAAGAAGCTACAGGGAAAAAATAATTAGTGTAAGAAGTGATTTCTGGTATTTTTTGTTCCCTATTTATCTGAGATTAAACTTTAAAAAGATTTTATTCAACCAAAGTCCTCTATTTGCACCAATATACGAAATTGAAAACAGAAAAAAAAATCCTTTGCAGGGAGAGAAAGAGAGTCAGAATCTACCAAATCTATCTTGTCTGACACAAAATTATGTGTGTAAAAATCTAGCTTGTTTTAGCACAAAATTAAGTTGCTTATGGTAAAGTTTTAAGGAACACAAATGATCACAATAGAAATAGAGAACACTACAGCATGCAGTTTCTAGAAATATGAATGTGAAACCTCAGTTGGATCCATTCTGTAAGCTCAGAGTGCAATGATAACTACGTAATTCAATTCCTACACAAGACTAAGAGCTGCACAAAATGTAGAATACGCTATAAAAGACCCAGCTTCCCTGATCATTACAGGTTCCTAATGACCACCTGTGCATTGCCTCCTTACACAAATCAGAGCAAAGCCTGGATAATATAGTTTGAGAATTTATTTTCAGTGCAACCTTTAAAAAATGCAGAACTATACACTGAAATAAGCATCTCCTATTTCAGGAGGAAAACTAACCTTGCAGGCCCCTAACCTGCAAGAATAGTCATGCCAGTACCCTGAATGCTGTCCTTGACCATGGCTAAGAGCAGACAGTTAAGGAAGAGTATAACTCTACGACATATTCCTCCTACTTTCTGGTTAAATTGGAGATTTAAACTTAACTTGAATGAGCAGAGTACATCAGGACAGTTAGATTT